ACGCTGCACATCAGCTAAACCTCTAGCCGCGTGTCTCCTTGCCGGATACCTCGCCTACCTTGCGTTGGACGGGGGAGGTTGGCGATGCGTCGGTATTCTGGTTCTAGGGCTCTCGTGCCTTTGTCCGCGATACTTCCGCGGAAAAGTTCTCCTCCTGCGCCATTCCCTGTGTCTTCCTTGGCTTTCCCCCTGACGCCCTTGACTGGCAGTTTTACCACCCCACCTCGCGTCGTGTCACGTTTGACGAGCCGGTTCCCTTTTACCGTCTCTTCCCCTACCGCACTGCCCTTATCCCCCCCGCCGCTCTTCCTCACAGCAGGTCCCCCTCCGGTAGACCCCCTCCCCCCTCAGGGTCCTGCTCCTTTAGGTGTGTCTCAGGTAGACCCACTCCCCTTGGCTGAGCCTTTCGAGGTCACTTCTGACACCTTTGGCCCAGCTGAGGGGGGTGACGTTGCTGCTCACGACGCGGCGCCCCCCCGCCGCTCACCACGCTTGGAGACCCCTCCGGGTTCTCCACCTCTACCGTCTTCGCCGCCTCTGCAGCCGGTTGCTGTCGACTCTGGTGCTTCTGGGGGAGGTGCTGCTAGGGGTGCTCCGTCTTGGGGTGCTGAGCCTAAGAGTGCGGAGCCTGGGGGTGCTGAGCCTGAGGGTGCTGAGCCTGAGAGAGTGGAGCCTGGGGGTGCTGAGCCTGAAAGTGCGGAGCCTGGGGGTGCTGAGCCTAGGGGTGCTGAGCTAGAGGGTACTGAGTTTGTGGGTACTAAGCCTCGGGGTACTGTGTCTGGGGGAGGTCCTACGGGTGCCTCACCTCAGCGGTCTCACCGGCGGGAGCCTCTCTCACCACAGCAGCAGCTGCGCGAGTGGTTTGCTCGGCGCACCCGCCTTTGGACTGGCGCTACTGGAGCTGGAGGCCCTGCCACTAGAGGCACTGACGCTGGAGGCACTGGAGCTGGAGGCGATGGAGCTGCTAGTCCTAGAATTACTGAAGGTACGGCTGGTGCTGGAGGCGCTGGAGCTAGAGGTGCCAGAGGTGCTGGAGCTGCAGGTCCTGTAGCTAGAGGCGCTGGTGCTGGAGGCATTGGTGCTGGGGACGCTAGTGCTGCAGGCGCTGGAGTTGGTGGTACTTGTGCTGGAGGTGCTGGTGCTGGAGGCTCTTGAGCTGGTGTTACTCGTGCTAGAGGTGCTGGTGCTGGAGGTACTGGTGCTGGAGGTGTTGGTGCTGGTGGCACTGGTGCTGGAGGCACTGGGGGTGCTAGAGCTGGTGGTACGGCATAGTGGCGACCGTTTTTCGTTCTGCCGCCACCGTCGTCTCTGCCACCTCCTGGCTCGGTACTTCACCAGGTTCTTAGTCTCCCGTCTTCTACTGACCTTACTGCTCCCTTACCCTGTCCACCGCTTGACCAGTCGCAGCCACAGTTACGGCCAGACTCCCCACTTCTTGCTCCTTCTCCTTACACTGAGCAGACAGACTCTCTTACAGAGCATCATGAGCCTGAGTCTCGTCCTGCCTCGTCTGTTTGGGCTGTTCGCATTGGTCGTCATCTTCCTCATACGCGTCCTCCTCCTGTCCCGGGCCCTCACAATATGACACTTTGTCCTTCCTCTGTTCCACTTCGAGTTCCCCTGCCATCTGCTCCGTCGCCCTCTCTTCCAGGCACTCCGAACCCTGAGTCTGAATTGGTTCGTGCTGCTAGCCCTACTGTCACACGTCTCCTAGCCATTGTTGTCACACGTCTGCCTTAGTTGTTGAGCTAGTTCACTTTGCTGATGCGTGTCGTCTTGACTATGCCACTAGTCTTGTTGCTGAGTGTAAGTCTAACTGTCCACCATCCGTCGGGGGTGAGTGTGCTCTTGGCACGGACGTCCTTGAGGACAGGCAGGAGGACTTAGAGTGTCTGACAGCTGCTGTACCTCATCTCGTGGCCATGCTGCTTGCACCTGAGGGAGACCTGGATGCACTGGACATCCTGACCCCGCGCTCTTACGTACAGGCGATCACGGGTCCCAACTCCTCTAAGTGGCAGACAACCATGGATGCGGAGATGGCATCCTGGAAGTCCACAGGCACTTACGTCGACGCAGTTCCCCCTCGTGAGGCGAACATAGTCGGTGGCATGTGGGTTTTCAGGGTGAAGCGGCCGCCGGGTTCTCCACCTGTCTTCAAGGCTCGTTACGTTGCACAAGGCTTTATTCGGCGACAGGGAGTTAACTTCTTCTAGACCAATGACCACTCTTCAGGTGTTGCTGCACGTCGCCGCTCAGCGTGACTACAAGCTTCACTCTCTTGAATTCAGCACAGCTTTCTTACAGGGCGGCTTGCACGAGGAGATCTGGCTGTGCCGTCCTCGTGGCTTCATTGAGTCGTTTCCTGACGGTACCCAGTGGAGCCTCAGACGGCCAGTCTACGGTCTCCGGCAGGCGCCTCGTGAATGGCACGACACACTGAGGACTACACTTGCGGCCCTTGGGTATGCTCCTTCGACTGCTGACCCGTCGTTGTTTCTGCGCATCGACACTTCGCTGCCGTCGTTCTGTATCTTTATGTACGTTGACGACTTGTTTTTGCCACTGCTGACACACTGATGCACTGGCCCTTTTGAAGTCGGAGCTGCAGAAGAGACACACGTGCATAGACCTGTATGAGCTGCGCAGCTATCTTAGCTTGAAGATCACCCAGGACAGAGCACGGCACACCATCACCCTGACTCTCTCACACATGGTGCACCAGCTCCTTCAGCGCTTCGGCTTCCGGTTCTCCTCGCCACAATCCACTCCTTTGCCTACCGGTCATTCGCTCTCAGCTCCAACTTCGAAGGAGTCCGTAGAGCTGAGTGGCACGTATCCAGAGCCTGTGGGCTGCCTCATGTACCTGAGAACCTGCACTCGACCTGACTTTGCCTACCCTCTTAGCATCCCGGCACACTACGTTACGCCCGGGAGACACCGACCAAAGCATTGGGAGGCCGCTAAGAGGGTGTTGCGCTATTTGTGTAGTACATCAGGCATGGTGATCGTGCTTGGAAGACAGGGTCCAGTCGTCCTCACTGGACACTCAGACGCGTCTTGGGTTGACAACCTGGCTACGCAGCGGTCGTCATGAGGTTACACTTGCAGCCTTGGCTCCGGCTCTGTTTCTTGGCGGTCTACCCGCTCGTCTTCTATTCTCAGTTCCAATTGCGAGGCTGAGATCTACGCAGGAGCCATGGCTGCACAGGAGTTACGCTGGCTCACCTATCTGTTGACCGGCTTGGGAGAGCAGCCTCGTTCTCCTCCAGTTCTGTATGTCAACAACAAGGCCATGATTGCCTTGTGTGAGGAGCACAGACTTGAGCACAGGACGAAGCACATCGCACTGCGTTACTTCCTTGCTCAAGAGTTGCAGTAGCGTGGTCAACTTTGTCTTGCTTACGTGGCCATACGGACCAACACTGATGAGATATTCTCCAAGACACTTCATTCTGGTGATCATCAACGTTTCTGTACTGCTTTTAACCTTGTCCGTGCATTGTCCCACTTGCTCGCTGCGTGACTTTGCTTGTACTGTGATCTCTATATATATACCTGCATGCTTACACTTGTTAGGTTATGATTACTGTACTATTTGTTCTCTTTTATATAGCTCAGCATGTGAACTGGCCTTGTGGCCATTTGCCTATGCTCGGACTGTGTGATGATTTCGTGATCCACCGTGAGCTTGCTTTGCTCTTCTTGACTGGTCTTGTGACCACTTGTTCTCCCCTACTTTGCCGATGGGGTTGTGTCAAAATATCATAATTCTCGTGTTGTGTAGGCTGTAGTAGGATAGCCCATAAGGGGTACAACCCAATTAGGGTTAGTGCTTGTAGTAAGTTTGATCTCAATGCAATCATTCCCGTTCAGTATTTTAATAATATTCGCACCTCCCACTTCCCTCGCCCTCCCCCTTGTGCTCTTATCTTTTCCCCCATCCTCCCAATCCACCCCCCCCTCTCCATCACCCATTCAGTAGTAGGTTGCTGTGCACAGGAGTGTGTTCGTGAAAACTCATATCAGGCAAGCTCGTATCAGATTCGCATCGAACCACACTAGAACGCATCGAACCGCATTCGAACAAACTGAAGCGTATTTCACCACGCGAAGCTGATACGAGGTGTAGGAACCAGGGGAAATTTTATCAGGGTAAATCACCCTGATACCCTGATAATCAGGGTGGTTTTTGGGGGTCACACTGATGGCCCCGGGTAATTTTTTTAGGAGCTAGTTTTACCATGATGAACCAGGGTTTACATTTATGTCACACTGATGCATAAGGGTTCCCGGATCCCATAACGACTTTTACCCTGAAACGAGTACCCTAACCCCCCCACCCCCTCGCCCCCCAGTACCCCCACCCCCCCTTTCCCGTAACCCTGGAATCCCGATTGACAAGTGTCGAAGCCTGATTTTCGGCCTTGACAGCGCATGTGCTGGCACACATTGGGCCACCATTGGCCAGGCTTACAGTTTCTTTGTATTGAGTGCAAGTATAAAAACTAGTGAACAGGGTTTGTTGTTTATGAACACTGATGCGCCAGGGTATATTTTTCCAAAACGGGGAAAACCCTGATGGGAAAGTTTTTTCACAAGGAGTCACACTGATAATCAGGTTTTTGAGCCTGTGCCACACTGATCGTAAGGGTAGGCCAAATCCAAAATTTTGCCCTGGTAGGAACACCCTCTAAGGGTACATTCCTGGAGCGCGTCACATAAGCCTCGCATCTCAAACGACGAGACACTGTGTGGTTGACGTTCGATACTTGGTGTACAGCGGTGCAGAGCGATACATTGCTTTCGTGACGCCTAAACCGAATACATGTCTTCGCAGGAATGTACCCTTATAAAAGGTGGGCTCAAACCCCACCCCACCCCCCCCACCCCCCCTCTCCCCCCTCCCCCCCCCCCCCCCCCCCCCCCCCTCCCTACCCCCCCCCCCCCCCCCCCCCCCCCCCCCCCCCCCCCCCCCCCCCTCTTCTCCCTGAGCTCGCTCAGTAGCGCAGGTTGCGGTGCACGCAGGTCTCGAGGAAGGTGGGCTCGCCCTCCTCTGCGCCGCCCTTCTGCCGCCGCCCCAGCGTCTCCAGGTGCTTGCTCACCCACGACAGCACGTCCTTCATTGCCACGTCCATGCGCATCTGATTGAGGGAGGGGGGAGGAAGGGAAAGTACGGAGTGCGGTGTGAGAGCTCATGCATGCATGTGTGTGTGCAGGTGCTTGCTCACCCACGACAGCATGTCCTTCATTGCCACAGCCATGCGCATCTGAATGGAAACTGGGTGTGGAGCGAAAAAAGGAAGAAGGAAAGGGGAAATGGTGGAGTGCGGTGTGAGGGTATGATCATGTATGAGTGCAGGTGCATCCACACACATCTGAGGGAGATGGGCGAGTGGTGAGGGGGGAGCGCGATGTGAGGTGCGTGCATACAGGTGCAGCTTGGGGGGCTCACCCACAATACCACATCCTTCGTTGCCACGTCCATGCGTATTGGCAGGGTGCAGAGTGGAGGTGGGGGAATGGGGGGAGGGATGGGATAGCAGAGAGTGGGTGTGAGGGTGATGCGTCTCCAGGTGCTTGCTCACCAATGACTGCACATCCATGCGCATCTGCGGTGGGCCAAGGGGGAAGGGGATGAGATGACAGGGAGTGTCATGAACACTCACCTGTTCAATCGAACCACCCCACCTGCTCACCATTCCCCACCTGCTCACCATTCCCCACCGGCCCATAACCCCACACGTGCCCACAACGCCCCACCTGCTCATAGGCGAGGTCAAGGCACTCGGCCTCGAGCTTGGCGGTCTTGCGGTCCTCCTCATGCGCGTTCGATGGGTACAGCTCCAGCACCGCTGTTCCGGGCAGCAGGAATATTATGTTGTCCAAAGCCCGGTCTCCCCACGGACCAATCACGATGTCCGCTCGGCCCAGGCCCAAAACCTGTGGGGAGTGAGTTGCAGCAGGGGGACAGAAGACTGGGTGAGAGCTTATAACGAGGATAGGGTTGGGAACAGAAGAAACCTATGAGATGAAAAAAGTCTAGTGAGTTCAGAACAGGGAAGAGAAAGAAGCGAGAGAGAGCTGAGAGAAAAGCATCGGAAAGGGAAGAGGAAAGGGAAGGAGAAAGGAAGGTGGAAGAAGAGAAGCGGAGGAGAGAAGGTGAGAGAGGGCAGGACAGGAGGGCAGGCCTTGTGCAGCATCCCTTCATTCGTGCCGTGCAGCACACATGCCCTCAGCCCACTACACTCGTCTCTCAAAGTCAATCCGTGTGTTTCTGTGCCCATCCGTCCCTCCGTACCTCTTGCTGTGAGACAACTCACCTTTTGTCTGGGCAGAACTCCCGTGTGGGCAACTCACGGTGGCGACTTCACAGTTGAGTCACAAGAGAAGACGGCACACTCCTGGCGAATCCACGGCGTGCGCGCCCAGGGAGACGACGGGGGCCAGCCCTCTCCTGGCATGGACACCCAAGAGCTCTCTTCCCTTGACACTTGGCCCACGGCCACAGGCGCTCACCTTGACGCGGCAGAACTCCCCTCGTGGCACGGTGGCCACCTGGCAGGAGAGCGAGAAGACGGCGCACTCCTGGCGGATCCAGGTGGCGGCGAGGGAGAAGTTGAACCACGGCATGCGCGCCCAGTTGTCCGCGTCGCCCGCAAACGCTATGCGCACGTCCATGCCCTCCTCGCCCAGCAGTGCCGGGGGGTCCTCTGCTGCTGCCACTGCTGGCACTCGCGTGCTGTGGACAGTGGAAGCAGTGGGACGGGGGAAGAGGGGAGGGTTGAATGGCCTCAGATCTCGTGCATGAGTGCTGTGTCCATGCACTCCTCTTCCAGCAGTGGAGGGAGGTCCTCTGGTGCTGGCACTGCCGGTACTCAGGTGATGTGGGGGTGGGGAATGATGGACACACGGAGGGAAGAAGGTGGAAAGCGAGCAGTGCGGAAAGTCACGCGGCATGAGTTCTCTCATATGCATTCTTGTGAATCTTGAAATGCTGGGTGAGGCGAGGGTTGAGGCGCCTCAGAACTCGTGTCATTTCACATGAGTTCTCTCATATGAGTTCCTGTGAAGATTGAGATCACGGGTGGCAAACATAAAACTCTTGTGGAGTTGGAGATCATGGGTGCAGCCCTGCAAAAAGGCCAAATAGTGGCTTTCTGCCAGTGAGTGGCGTTTGTGTAAAGAGTGCTCACTCAAGGCACCACTGAAAAAAAACGAACTCACTCAAAGAATTCACGTAATTCTCGAAAAAGCCACTCACTGAGTGGCAGAAGGCACGCCACAATGCAGCGCATTCACACACCCTGGGCGTCCCTGCTGCATTCACAACTACTGCCGGCACATTCACTGGCTACACTCTCTGCTCAACACGCCAATCACGAGCAGAGAATTCTAAAACTTTTCAGAAGCGCCATTCACTGGCAGAAGGCTCGCACGATGCAGCGCAGTTGCTGCACTGATCGGCGTTAAGGTGCCCCGCTGATGCAGCACCACCGCGTTCTCCAGACATTGCTTTGAGTCGACTCAAACATACACACACACACACCTCAAGACGCAACCCACAAACACAGTATTCCAACACTCTTCAAGGCGCCACTCACTGGCAGAAGGCACGGACAATGCGGCGCAGCTCTTGAGCGTCGCTGCTGCACTCATCGGCGTTGAAGGTGTCGCGCTGCCGCAGCACCACCGCGTTCTCCAGACACTGCGGCGTCACCCCGTCCGGTGGCTTGAACGGCGGCGCTGCTCCCGGCCCCAGCACTGCCTTGAGCAGGTTGCTGGCCCACGCTGATATCTGAGGGGTGGGCGTGGGGTGACAGTGGAAAGGAGGGAAGGGAAAAGGGAGACGGAGAAGGGGGAACGGAGAGAAGAGGAGGGGGGTGAGAGGGGATTCGTTGGTGCATGTGTGTGAGAGGAAGGGGAAGTGCGCGGCTTGAGCGACTGTTGCCTTTCCTGCCGCGCAGCACCACCGCAATCGCCAGGCACTGTGAAGGCTGGCACTGCCCTCGGCCACACACATGCACTGCCCTCGGCCACACACATGCACTGCCCTCGGCCACACACATGCACTGCCCTCGGCCACACACATGCACTGCCCTCGGCCACACACATGCACTGCCCTCGGCCACACACATGCACTGCCCTCGGCCACACACATGCACTGCCCTCGGCCACACACATGCACTGCCCTCGGCCACACACATGCACTGCCCTCGGCCACACACATGCACTGCCCTCGGCCACACACATGCACTGCCCTCGGCCACACACATGCACTGCCCTCGGCCACACACATGCACTGCCCTCGGCCACACACATGCACTGCCCTCGGCCACACACATGCACTGCCCTCGGCCACACACATGCACTGCCCTCAGCCACACACATGCACTGCCCTCAGCCACACACATGCACAGTCCAAACCCACATACGGTTGGCCAACCCACCCACTTGCGTCCGGAGCATGCCGTCGTGAAAAAGCACGAGGGCCGAAGCAGCTGTGGGAGCGAGGGAGAGGGGGACGGAGGCACACACATCCCGCCCTCCACACAGCAGCGGCCTCAGCAGCAGGCAGCCCACCTGCGTGCGGAGCATGCCATCCTGGAAGAGCATGAGGCGGGCGGGGCCGAAGCAGCCGTGGGAGCGGCGCCACGTGGCGAGGGAGGAGGCGAGGTGCAGCAGTGTGAAGCGGCCCTCGAAGCCCCACTGGCTGTGCGCGATGAAGGTGCTGCCTGAGAGGTGCCCCGCGTCCGGGGGCACGGAGGCGAAGTCGAGCAGCGTGTACTGGTTGCGCGCCGGGTCGTCCATGTCCTCGTCGTTGTCCCCCTGGCCGGTACCAAGGTTGTTGCGTGGCGTGACGGTCAACGAGGGAGGGAGGGAGGGAGGGAGGGAGGGAGGGAGGGAGGGAGGGAGGGAGGGAGGGAGGGAGGGAGGGAGGGAGGGAGGGAGGGAGGGAGGGAGGGAGGGAGGGAGGGAGGGAGGGAGGGAGGGAGGGAGGGAGGGAGGGAGAGAGGGAGGGAGGGAGGTAGGGAGGGAGGGAGGGAGGGAGGGAGGGGGGGAGGGAGAGAGAGAGGGAGGGAGAGAGGGAGAGAGGAGAGGATGGTGGAATTGTGACAGGCAGAAAACAGTTATGGGAATTTGAGTGCTTACTGACATGTTGAATAGAGGTGCACACTTTCCACACGCATGCACGCACACACATCACCCACACCCACACCCACCCACTCACACATCAACCACACCCACTCACACCTTGGGGCACATGGCGTGTCTTTTGGCAGTGCAGGTGGGCACTGAGCGATCTCAGTGGTGATGTGATGTGATGAGGGAAATGCTTGCTGTTGAGGGATCATCGGGCACCCCCCTCTCTCCCCTACCCCACCTCCCCCCCACACACGTACACTAGTGTGCGTGCATGCGCGCACACACATACCTTGATGCACATGACGTGCCGGTTGACGGTGTGCGTGGGCACTTGGGCGATCTCCGTGGTGATGAGGGGGTGCTGGAAGGTGAGCTGCTTCAGGAACTGCTTGCTGCCGCGGTGCTCAAACGCGTCAAACACCGGCTCAAACACCATGTGCGCCGCCGTGCTCAGCCGCCGCCGTCTCACCACCTGATGTGTGTGAGAGGGAAGGAAGAAACATGCAGAGAGGTGCATGATGGCATTGCTGCTCAAATCCGTCAACCACCGGCTCAATCACCATGTGCTGTGCGCTGCTGTGCTTAGCCTGCACCGCTGCACCACCTGATTGTTGTGATTGAGGGATGAGGAAACATGCAGGGAGCAGCGTCAAGACTCAAGCCAGCTGTGCTTTGAGACTTGAATGTGCACTAGCGCAAAGACCATGTGCGCTATTGTGATCAGCCTGCCGTGCTCAGCCTGCCGTGCTCAGCCTGCCGTGCTCAGCCTGCCGTGCTCAGCCTGCGCCGCCGCACCACCTGATTGTGTGCAAGAGCAATGAGGAACGAGATGCAGACATTTGAGGTGATTACAGACATTTGAGGTGATTACAGACATTTGAGGTGATTACAGACAACACTGCTGTGAACTCCATTGTATTGTGACTCTCCTCAACACCGATACTGCACACTACAACAACAACAAGGACTCACCTGACTGACTTTGACACAGGCTGACATCACAAATGTGCATTGCCAGACCTTGACATTTACTATCACTCAATGTACATTGATTCAATATGACTCGCCCCATGGGTTGGCGCCCCCCTGATTTGAAAAAACGGCCGTTTTAAACCAAACGGAAAGCACTTCCTGAAACCGTATTAAACCGTTTAGATCGGCCTTTTTTGACAGGAATTTTCCAAACATACGGCCATTTTCAATAAACCTGCATCCCTTGCATGTACTGGTTGACTTTGACTGATTGACTCGCCTTGACCATTCCCTGCATGCCCTTATTGACTCGCCTTGACCATCCCATGCATGCATCCGTTGACTCGGATCGACTCGCCTTGACCATCTTGTCTCGTTCGAAGTAGGTGACGGCCTCGGATGTGTTGCGCAGTGACATGTACCCCAGCATGATGGCAATGTCGTTCATGCACACGGACCTGAGATCAAGGGGTAGAACAGCACACATACAGAGAAGCAAACAGCACAATTGACACACGTGTGGTGGCATGCAGGAGGCTAGTGAGACATGGATGGACCCCAGCATGTTGGCAATACCGTTCATGCACATGGACCTGGGGTTGGAGGGGCGTTACAGCACACATGCACATGCAGAGGGACAGCTCCCTGCCAGTATCACTATTCAACACCAGGCGCTCACCTGGAGTTGTCGTGGCTCCCGCGGGACGACAGCCCGGACGACGTGCCGTAGTCGAGCTTGGTGGGGTCCTCCATCAGCAGCGGCGGCAGCCCCGACAGCTGCGTCACCACCAAGTTCATGGTGATGTCTTCGCAGTTCTTGTTGCGCTCCACATACTCGCGCACACGCTGCGGCATGATGCAGGTGTACGCGCGCAGGTAGTCGCCGTGCATGAGGAACATCTTGGTGAGCACGATGCTGTACTCCTGCCGCGGCGTCAGCACGTATGTCATCTGCCCGCTGCGCGGCCCGTTGACCTCGCGGTAGTGCGCGCGCGGGAAGAAGCCGACGAGGCGGTACTTCTCCTCCTGCCACCGCTCAAACGCCACTCGCAGCGCACCTGGATGCACCTCGATGTCGTCGTCACACATCAGCACTGCCTCTGTCTCCAGGGAGCTGGGGGAACACAATGCAATGCAGTGAGAGGGGCACGCGTGAATGGGGAATCAAGAGGACAAGAACGTGGCAGGGCAAGAAAGAGAATGGCAGGGCGAGAAAGAGAATGGCAGGGCGAGAAGGGAGGAGTATGGCCATCTTTCCACTGACCGGATGGGTTTGAAGCGGTCGTTGAGCGAGTCGATGCCGGAGTAGAGGATCTCGACGGGCTTGGACACGTTGAAGTAGGCGGGGTGGAAGGGCGTCACGCGCGTGTTGCCCCACACGATGTACACCTTGTGCACAAACTCAAAGCGCGCGTAGCGCCGCACAAAGTAGAGCATCAGGTCGAAGCGGTCAAAGCAGTTGATGATCACACTGAACTTGTCCGTTATCGGTGCCTTGCTGCCCGGTTGGGGAGGGGAACGGGGGTTGGGAGTGACAGGAAGGAAGGAGCGCACGATGACGCTGACGAGAATTTCAAGACGGGGTAGAAGCGGTGAAAGCAGCTGATGATCACGCTGAGCTTGTCCGTTATGGGCAGCTTGCTGTCCGGTTGGGGTGGGACATGGGTATGGGTTTGGTAGGGGGAGTAGCGAGTGAGAGGAGGGAAGCGAAGGTGAGAGCGGTGGAAGCAGTATTATCACATTGGACTACTGTATGTCTTGTGCTTTCACCCTGCCTCACCAGAGTCTGCTGCACTCTACGGAAGCAGTCAGGAGACCACTCACTCACCACTCACTCACTATACACACACCACTCCCTCACCACCACACACAAAGTTATTCTCTCTCCACGCACACGCCACTGTCTGGAAACACAGAGGCCGGAGGGACGCACCGGGCATACGCCATGTAGTTCCGCTGGCACTGCGGCGCCAGCTGGGGCGGCTCCGAGGGCGACCCTGCTGCTGCCGCCGCTGCTGCTGCCAGCCGGGCAGCAGTCGCCACCGCCTCCAAGCTCTCCCCCGCCCCCCCAACCCCTCCACTCCCCCCACCACCAGCCTTCTCAGCAGCAGCTGCAGTGGCAGCAGCGGTGGTGTCGAGGGTGGAGCGGGAGTTGAAGGCGGAGGAGGAGGCGGACTTGGAGGATTTGAGCGCCTGGCGGTGCAGGATGGAGTAGACGTCGTCATACACCTCCCACCACCGGTGGTCGAACGCCCTCGTTGTGGGGAACTGCCGTGGCGCAAGGGAGGACGTGGGGACGGGGGGGAAAGGGAGAGAATTTTGAAAGGAACGGGAGGGGAAAGGAGGGGGGAGGGAGGAGGAGAAGGAGGAGGAGGAGGAGGAGGAGGAGGAGGAGGAGGAGGAGGAGGAGGAGGAGGAGGAGGAGGAGGAGGAGGAGGAGGAGGAGGAGGAGGAGGAGGGGGAGGAGGAGGAGGAGGAGGAGGCACCCAAGCGGGGGAGGTGAAGCACACACACCTGGCGGTCGACCATCATGTTCCAGGGCTTGGTGTTGCCCGAGAAGTGCAGCACCTTGAGCTTGGGCTCGATGAAGAGGCGCCAGCCGGGCGACACGGAGATGCGCACGAGCGCGTTGTACGTGTAGTCGATGTGGTGCACGGGGCCCTGCTGGTACCACGACGAGAAGTAGCTGTTCAGGAAGCCCTGGTCGCCCACGTTGGGTGAGACGAGAGTGGCGATCTTGGAGAGCATGTCTTTGAACATGGCGCGGTTGGGCTCCACCACCATCAGCCCGCTGTTGAACTTGTCGGGCGGCAGCGTGTCGGGCGCCGCGGACAGCTGCGGGCGGTGGAAGAGGTCGTCGATGCTGTGCAGCACGAGCAGGTCCGAGTCCAGGTAGATGAGCTTGCGGTAGCGCACCATGTTCCACATCAGCAGCTTCGAGTACCTGGTGGGTGCAGGGGTCGCACAGACGCGGATTGGCGAGTCAAAGGACACACCCAATCAGACCGTGGTGGTACCGCACCATGTTCCACATCAGCAGCTTCGGGTACTTGGCGAGAAGGGTTTTGGAAACTGGTAGGTTGTTTCCTCTAACCCAGAAGTAGATGAGCTTGCAGTAACTCATGTTTCATATGAGCAGCTTCGAGTACCTGCGTGCAGGGAGGCAGGGAACGGACACATAAGCTTGCGGTAACACACCACGTTGCGCATCAGCTAGGTGTACCTGAAGAGAAGAGAGGGGTGAGATGGTCACATGATGTGTATTGAGAATGGGTCCTCCTGGGTCATTGGAGGACACGAGCAGGTCGAGGTCGAGGTAGATGCGCTTGCGGTGCGGTAGGTAGCACACCATGTTCCACGTCAGCAGCTTGGGATACCTGCGAAGGGGGGAGGGAGGGAGGCAGGGATGAGAGAGACGAATGAGGTGGAGAGTGGATGATCACGGTGTCAACACCGTGTTCCCCACTGACCAACTCTTCGCCAATGGTCATGTTGAGCAATCAGTCCTGTATCCAGTCATGCGTCGGTCGGATCCCAATTGGGTGATTCACACCTTGATCCAGATAAGCAGCTTGAAGTACCTGCACGGTTCAAGCACAAACGAGCCTCAGTGAGCGGGAGGGAAATGTCTTCCCTCACTGGCACACACACAAGCATGGCTTGCTGCTTGCCAGACTGAATGCTTCTAAGAACAAATGCCAACTCAAGAAGGTTATTCCTTTTTAGACGTCTCAAAGCTGCTAGGAACATGTGGCTCGTACCTGCAAAGCTTGGACATTGCGAGTCTTTTCGCGGTAACAGCAAAGGGATCAGGCACGGGTTCCAGTATCGTTCTTTGAGTACTCTAGGCACAGGCACGCGCCTAGAAATCGGCTCTTACCTGCACGGCTTACCTGCACGGCTTGTTGATGGCAAGTCGGTCCGCCGTGACGGCGAACGGATAAGGCACGGGCTCCAGAATGGGCTCGATCTTCGCCCCCAAGGCTACCAGCGACTCTAGCGTGCGATTGGAGACGTTCATGGTGAGTATTACGATATCGTGAGGCGTGCCTGTACGGCGTACGGAGTGTACCATCACCATCGCTGCCTCTGCCATGACGTCATCGCACAACAGCGTGACGTAAGCGTAATTGTTCCGCGAACCGCCTGGAACGGAAGTCGCGCTAAGGCCGACTCCGGTCCCGATTTCACCCTCGCCGTCACCTCGTACTAATAACGGGCGAACACTAACGAAATGCTGAAACAGGGACACGACTAGAATAACTGCAGCCACGAGTCTTGATGAATCCATATTGGATCAATGATAGCCGGTCGATAACAGCCAAGCACTGAATGAATTGGAGCTTCAGGCGAAGCTCTCACATTTCAAGGCACAGGAGTACTTGGTGGTGAGCGGACTCTGAATCCATCAATTACTGTACCTGACTACATCAGTTCAAACCCAACCCTGCTGCTGCCGCCTGTTCTAGTAGTGTAACGCTAAAAGCGTTCGCCTTTTTTGTCGAGCAACAGAATGGCTGAAACCAGGTCCCTAGACTCCTTGGACCGCATGACGTCCGAGTCTCGTCAGAGCACCGCAATAGCAGCAAAATACACAGAACGTCTCCATTACTCTTTCCTCGATACACAGAGCGTGGATGGATGTACGGTTCAGTTGGTTGGTGAGGTTGGACTTCAAAAATCGGCAGACTTCGTCTGCAGTAACAAGTGTTTCGAGAAACCCCTCTAGGGAATCGGAAATGTTGCGCGACAAATTCAGGTTTGACGAAAAAAATCAAATTCGCTCTCACGGAAACACCCCGGGGAGTTTTTGGGTTGCGTAGCAACCCTATATAATCGATTTCATCTTTTGGGGATATCATTTTCAAGAGTGATTTTTACAGCACTCTTTGGAGCACCTGCTTGAAAAGAATGCTTCGAATCGTGAATAAAAATCACTCATGAATGAGGTCTCCCAAAAGTGAAACCTATTACATATCATGTTGAAACCATGATTTTTTTCCGGCCGTCCCAGCTCGTCGATTAATACGGCGGATGGTACGATCGAACATGGCATCAACATGAGCGAATGCATTTGTACAAATGAACACGGTATGAAGTGTGATGCGAATGCTTCAAGAAATGTTACAATGTATCAACATAGCAATAGAGATTGATGGGGCCGTTGAAACAGCGAATACACGCTGCACCAACGACGATGACAACCTCTAGTTGTATACATGATGCATTGGAACACCCTGCCTTGGAACATGCACATCACACAAACATGAAATGCAAACGTCACGAAAAAAAAGTTGTGACGACATCAAAATGGATGTTAATATGCACCAATGCTACAACTGATATTGATGGGGTCGTTGAGACAGTGAAAACGCACTGCGCCAACGACAATGACAACCTCAGCTGCAAAGACGATGCTGTCAAATGTTGTAGCCTGTAGTGAGGTTTGTCTTAGGGGGTACAGAAGTTAGGGTTTGTTATATGTACCCCAACCAACATCAATGGCACATCATTCCTCATTCTGACATGGTATCAGCTAGGTTAGGATCCTGTAGGATCCAGTTCCTCCGTTCTCCGTTCGTCCCTCCCGAGCCTGATCCTACCTCTCGTTCGTACCAGTTCCGTTGTTACCGCGCCTAGTACCGAGCCTAGCGCCCTCTCCCCCGTCGCTTAGCGCCCTTTCTCCCCGTCGCCTAGCGCCCTTTCCCCCCCCCCCCCCGTCGCGTCGCGCCTTTTCCCCCCGTCGCCTAGCGCTCTTTCCCCCCGTCGCGTCGCGCCCGTTCCCCCCGTCGCGTCGTGCCCGCCCTTTCCCCCCCGTCCCGTCGCCCTGTCCCGTCGCGTCGCCCTGCCCCGTCCCGTCGCCCTGCCTCGTCGCGTCGCCCTGCCCCGTCCCGTCGCCCTGCCCCGTCGCGTCGCCCTGCCCCGTCCCGTCGCCCTGCCCCGTCGCGCCGCCCTGCCCCGTCGCGTCGCCCTGTCCCGTCCCTACGCCCTGGCCCGTCGCCCTACCCTACGCCCTGGCCCGTCGCCCTACCCTACGCCCTGGCCCGTCGCCCTACCCTACGCCCTGGCCCGTCACCCTGCCCTACGCCCTGGCCCGTCGCCCTACCCTACGCCCTGGCCCGTCGCCCTACCCTACGCCCTGGCCCGTCGCCCTACCCTACGCCCTAGCCCGTCGCCCTACCCTACGCCCTGGCCCGTCGCCCTAGCCCGCTCTTCCGCTGCGACTGAGTCCCCTTCCCACCTGAACCCTAATTTGCCTCTTCTCCCCGGTTGTTACTCGCCTGTTCGTTCGCGTTAGTTCTCACTACGGCGACTCCGCGAGTTCTTCGTTTCGACGCTGACGGTAGACCACTTGACTTTTCCGTCTGGCTTCTTCGCGCTCGCCGTCTGTTAGAGAGTCAGGTCCAAGGGGGCGAGACCCTCTGGTCGCACGCTACTGGTGACCTCCCCGAGCCCCCCGAGCCTACAGCTTTAGGCTCTGCCCCTGATGACGCTGCTACGGCTCGCTTTGCCCGTCAGCGCGCTGACCGGACGGCTTGGACGTCGCGTGACGCTGCGGCCTGCATCGCACTCAGCAGCCTCCTCCCTGAGTCAGAGGAGGTCCACTTTACTCAGGTTCGCACCGCTGCTGCGTACCTCACTGCGATTAAGGCCCGCTACTCTACTCCCGCTACTGTCTCTCTTGGCCGTCTTTTCCTCCCGTTCCTGTTTCCTGATCTCGCCTCGTTTGAGCGCTCTGCTGACTTGATCGCTCACCTCCGCTCGCTCGACGCTAGTTACCGCGCTGCTTGCACTGAGGCACAGCTTGCACTGCTTCCTCCCCCCATGGCGATTACTGTCTATTTCATCGCCACTAGCCTCCCTGACCGCCTAGCCTCCGTTCGTGACGCGCTTCTGCTGAAGCACCCTAGTGAGCTGACTATCGAGGTCCTTGAGTCTGCACTCAAGGACGTCGAGAGCAACCTTCGCTCGGTAGCTGCCGCCTCTGGTACTGTGTCCCCCCCACTCTTCCACGGGTGCGCAGTCCCGCAGTTACCCACCTTCACTGCCTCTCTCGCCACTGCCGCTACTGACGCGATTGCGGCTGCTGTTACGACTGCGTCGCGGTCCCGCGGCAGGGGGGGCAAGAAAGGTGGTTCTGGTGGAGGTGGAGGTGGAGGTAGCGGAGGTAGTGGGGGTGCTGTTGCGACTGGCGGTGGTGGGAGTGCAGCGTCTGGAGAGACCCCTCGTGCAGCGGCTGGTGACTCCACTGCGCCTGCTGGTGGCGGCGACCCCCGAGCTCGTTAGTCGCCTCCTGTACTGCCGACCCCGCTAGGTGGAGCAGCGGCGTGGTACCAGGCTCAGCGTCAGCAGCACCTTCAGCAGCAGCAGCAGCCCCTTTCCTCCCAGCAGCCTCAGCAGCAGCAGCGTCAGCAGCTGGCTCCGGGGTCGGGGCTGCGTCAGCCCCAGCGCGGTGCTTCTTACCCTCCCTGCACCTATCAGGTTCTGACAGGTCCTCGTCGGGGCCACCCTTGTGGCTGCTTTCACCCCCCTGGTCAGTGCTTTGCTCAGCTCACTGACACGGTCCGGTTGGCCTACGGGGTTGGCGGTCCTGCTCTTGACTGGCTTCCTCTGGTTCAGCGCTACGGCTCCGCTCAGTGGGGCATGTCTGCTGAGCAGTTAGTTGATCTGATTGGTGCTCCTCATGCTATGTATGCTGTTGTTGACTCTAGTGTTTCTGACTCTGTTTACTCTGGTGTTGTTAGCTTAGGTGCTAGTCTTGCTCAGTTGCCTGTTGCTAGTGTAGGTTCTTGTGTAGACTCTAGACCAGCGACTACCTCAGAGGACGCTTCGCTGTCGTTCACGCTGGACTCTGGAGCCTCACACTGCTTCTTCCGGGACAGCACGACACTTACACCACTTCCTGCGCCTGTTTCTGTGGCGTTGGCTGATCCCACTACGGGACCAGTCACTGCACGTCACACTACCACTTTACCGTGTCCTGCTGCTCCCTCCGGGTCTCTCACTGGGTTTCACGTCCCCTCGTTCTCCCGGAACTTGGTGGGCCTGCGACCCCTCGTGAGTCAGCACGTGGGTGTGTGGTTTGAGCCTTCTGGAGAGACTGCGGTGTGTGTTGACGGAGACTCTTACCAGCCTCTTGCTACCTTTACTGCTGAGCCGGGCTCAGGTCTCTACACTCTTCACACTGGCCCGCGTGCGCCGCAGCAGCAGCCGCAGCAGCAGCAGCAGCCGCAGCCGCAGCAGCAGCAACAGCAGCAGCCGCACCAGCGGTCGCACCAGCAGCCGCCCCTACTGCCACTGCCCCCGGTTCCCCCCCCCCCGTTCGGGTCCCCGCGTCTCACCAGGTTGCTTCGTCCCCCCAGGTGTCTGTGTCGTGTCAGGTTCCTACGTCCGCTCCAGTCGCTGCGTCGTGCTCCTGCCGGTCGCTTGCCCACCCCACCGTTCTGTGGCACCACCGGATGGGGCACCCGTCCCTTCCTCGTCTGCGCGCTATGTCTAGTCAGCATCTTGTCCTAGGCCTCCCACGTGTCTTGCCGTCGCTGCCGCCTTCGCTTGCACCGCCGTGTGGTCCCTGCGTCGAGGGTCGGCTGCGCGCCACCCCTCACTCCTCCTCCCTTCGTCCGGCCACCGAGCCTTTTGAGACGCTTCACTTGGACGTCTGGGGCCCCGCCCCTCGTCTAGGCCCTGAGCGTGAGCGCTACTTTCTGGTGGTCGTTGACGACTTCTCCCGCTACACCACAGTGTTCCCTCTGGCGAAGAAGTCTGAGGTGACTTCTACGCTGATCAGGTGGTTGCTCACCACCAAGGACACTCGTGGTCGTCGTGTCAGCTGCCTCCACTCCGACCGTGGGGGTGAGTTTCGCTCCGGCATTCTCGCTGGATTCTGTCGCGAGCAGGGCATTCGTCAGTCCTGGACGCTTCCAGAGTCCCCACAGCAGAATGGGGTTGCTGAGCGCCGCATAGGCCTGGTCATGGAGATCGCCCGCACCTCCCTGACTCACGCCTGTGCCCCCCATTTTCTGTGGCCCTACGCGGTCAGGTACGCCGCGCACCAGCTGAACCTCTGGCCACGTGTCTCTCGACCAGAGGTTTCACCGACCAGTCTTTGGACAGGGTCCCCTGGTGTTGCGTCGCGGTTTCGTGTCTGGGGGTGCTTGGCTCTTGTCCGCGACACCTCCGCGGACAAGCTCTCGCCTCGTGCCGTCCCCTGTGTCTTCCTTGGTTTCCCTGAGGACTCCTCTGACTTCACCTTTTACCACCCTCCCTCTCACCGGTTCTTTGACTCCTGTGACGTCCGTTTCGAGGAGTCCACTCCGTACTACGTCAGGTACCCCAGTCGAGGTCTCCCGGTTCCTCCTCCCCCCCTCTTCCTGACTGCCGCTCCCCCTCCTGTTCCCCCGGTACAGCCTCCCCCCCCTGGTCCAGCCCCGTCGGGTGTGTCCCAGGCTACCCCTCCTCCTTCAGTAGCCCCTCCGGTACAGCCTCCCTCCCCACAGTCCTCCTCGCAGCGTGCCGCAGGTGCTAGCTCTCGAGAGGTTGGTGCTGCGCCTGTTCCTGTACCGGTTTCTGGTTCTGGGGGTGCTGGAGTTGGAGCTGGAGTTGGTGCTGGAGTTGGAGCTGGAGTTGGAGCTGGAGTTGGAGCTGGAGTTGGAGCTGGAGTTTCTGGTTCTGGAGTTGGAGCTGACCCGGTGGGTGCAGAGGACTCTTGTCGTCCGGGAGCTGGTGCTGGTCGCGCGGACACTGGGGGTGAGAGTGCGCCTCCTTCGGGTTCTGGTGAGCCTGGGTCTGGAGCTGGTGTTAGTGCTGCCTCTGGGGGTGGTGCGCCTGGTTCTTCGGGGGTGGACTCTGGAGCTGCCGCTGCTTCGGACACTACTCCGCCCCCCCACCCCTACCCGACTAGGCACCAGGCTCGTGTTCGCCGTGCCCGTGACGAGCAGCTGGCGTTGGAGAGAGAGGAGAGGGAGTTACAGCGGCTGGAGGAGCAGCAGCAGCAGCAGCTGGAGCCGCAGGAGCAGCAGCAGCAGCAGCAGCAGCTGGACCCGCAGGAGCAGCAGTCCCAGCAGCAGCCGCTTCCGCAGCAACAGCAGTCGCAGCAGCAGTCGCAGCAGCAGCAGCAGCAGCCACTTCCTCCTCCTGTCTCGGGTCTTCGGACCCTTGGTCTCCCCTCCCCTTCTCCTCCCTCCTCCGCCTCTCCTCCTGTCTACGGTCCCACGTTTCCTCCTCCTGACTCCTCCCCCGCTGTTTTCCCCAGTTCTCCGCCTTTGTCCTCTCCTCCTCCGTCTCGTTCTTGGGCTACTCGTCGCTCCCCTCGTGCTCGTCCCTCGTCTCCTGTTCCCTTCACTGACCTTCGTACTGCCTTCCTTCTTTCTAGTCCACCTCGTTCGTCTCAGTCTGTGCTTCCGTCTCCTCCTGAGTCGCCCCTCACTGTGTCGCTCCCTACTCCTGTCACTGACTACTACCGCACGTACCGTCCTGTTCTCTCTCGTGTTCTCGCCTCTCTTGTTACTCACCCTCGTGCCTCTGTGTCCTCTGTGTCCGCTCTTACTGCCGCAGTTACTGACTTTGCCTCTACCCGCCACCTTGACTACGCCACCACGCTTGTGGCTGCTCCTCCTACCAGTCCTCTGGCCGTCGGGGGTGTGTCTGCCCTTGGCTGTGACGCCCTAGAGGACAGGCAGTTTGAGCTAGAGTTCCTGGCGGCCGCTTCCCCTCATCTCTGTGCCATGCTCCTCGCCCCTGAGGGTGACCCCGACGCCCTTGACATTCCGACTCCTCGCACTTACGCTGAGGCAGTGTCAGGGCCTTGGGCCTCTCAGTGGAGAGCTGCCATGGACGCAGAGATGGCCTCCTACAGATCCACAGGCACCTACGTCGATGAGGTTCCCCCCCCTGGGGCGAACGTAGTCGACGGCATGTGGATCTACAGGGTGAAGCGGCCACCGGGATCTCCCCCGGTCTTCAAGGCGCGCTACGTGGCTAGAGGTTTCAGTCAGCGCGAGGGAGTTGACTTCTTTCAGACCTTCGCACCTACCCCGAAGATGACCACTCTTCGGGTGTTACTACACGTAGCAACACAGAGAGACTACGAGTTACACTCTCTTGACTTCTCCACTGCTTTCCTTCAGGGCAGCCTACACGAGGAGGTCTGGTTGCGTCGTCCCTCGGCCTTCACTGGCACCTTCCCTCCTGGGACCCAGTGGAGGCTGAGGCGACCTGTTTACGGTCTTCGCCAGGCCCCTCGTGAGTGGCACGACACTCTGCGTTCTACCCTCTCTGACCTTGGGTTCCAGCCGTCTTCTGCCGACCCGTCGCTGTTCGTTCGTCGTGGCTCCACACCGTTCTTTGTTCTGGTTTACGTCGACGACCTCGTTTTCGCCACTCCGGACAGGGTTGCTTTGGCAGACGTGAAGTCCGAACTGCAGAAGAGACACACGTGCACTGATCTTGGTGAGCTGCGCCACTACCTTGGCCTGCAGATCACCAGGGACAGAGCCGCTCGCACCATTACACTCTCACAGTCACACATGGTGCAGCAGGTCCTTCAGTGGTTCGGGCTTCAGCACTCCACCGTACAGCGCACACCTCTTGCTGTTGACCACAGACTCACTGGTCCCTTTCCTGACGAGCCGATTGAGCCTAGTGGTCCCTACGCAGAGCTTGTGGGTTGCCTCATGTACCTGATGACTTGTACTCGCCCGGACCTCGCCTTCCCTCTCAGCATCCTTGCGCGCTTTGTTGCGCCAGGGAGACACCGTCCTGTTCACTGGACGGCAGCTGTGAGGGTGGCGAAGTACCTAGCGACTACATCAGGCGTGGGGCTAGTTCTTGGAGGGCAGCAGTCTGTCGTACTCACTGGTCACTGTGACTCCTCTTACGCTGACGACGCTGAGACTCACAGGTCTACTCAGGGGTACTGTTTCAGTCTGGGTTCTGGAGCTGTTTCGTGGCGTTCCACGCGCTCCTCTTCTGTCTCGACCTCTACAGCTGAGGCTGAGATTTACGCTGGTGCCATGGCGGCACAGGAGTTGCGTTGGTTGACCTTCTTGCTCGCCGACCTTGGTGAGCGGCCGAGCTCTGCACCGACCTTGTTCACTGACAACAAGGCGTCGATCCTCCTCTGTCGTGAGCCGCGACTGGAGAGCAGAGTGAAGCACATTCACGTCAGGTACTTTCTTCTGCGAGAGTTGCAGAGACGTGGACAGGCTCGCTTCGAGTTTGTGGAGTCCGAGGCCAACACTGCAGACATCTTCACCAAGGCGCTTCCGCCTCGTGACCACAAGAGGTGTTGTGTGCAGTTAGGCCTTGTTGACACAGGTTCTAGTCATGTGTAGGCTTGAGTTTATTGCCTGCTTAGTCTGTACTCTTGCTATATATACTTGTGATCTCTTGGACTCGCCTTGTGGCCACTGTTGCTTGTGCTCAGAGAGTGTGGTGACGTTGTGATCCACCCTGAGCTTTGTTTTCTTTTTGACTGGTCTTGTGACCGTACTCTTTTTGATTTTGCTAGACACCCCTCACTTAGGCTATGGGGGTGTGTCAAATGTTGTAGCCTGTAGTGAGGTTTGTCTTAGGGGGTACAGAAGTTAGGGTTTGTTATATGTACCCCAACCAACATCAATGGCACATCATTCCTCATTCTGACAGATGCATACCAACACCACACTCTAAAGTAATCACAACCAACTGACACACACACACAGCACACCCACCCACGCACACACGATATACACACATACAGACATGCACTGACGCACATATGTATATATACACACACATACATACAACGAGGAGAGAGAGCAAACAAGCACAACAAAGAGTCGCAAAAAGCTGTTAACGTAACAATCACTGCTAGCCTGCTCCTCCTTCCATCCCTTTTCCCCTTCCCTCTTTGTCCCTATGTTTTGCCAAATCTTTCCTTTGCCAAATCTTTCCCTCGCCTTCCACATTCTGCTTCCCACAAAACGGCTTGCACATAATGCAAAACACAGGTCACGCAAGAAATATACGGCTGTGAGTGGGTGAAGTGAATTATGTAAGGCGCCAGCGCACCACAACAAGGCGCCAGCGCACTGCAGCAAGGCGCCAGCGCGCTGCATCAAAAACAGTAACGCATGATAGAAAGTGCTATTCAAAATGATGCAATATATTGCTAAAGGATGAATTCGGGAGGCAAATCCAAGTTGACGACTCACACATATGGTTTCAAGGCATCACGCACACCACCTCAACATGCACGGGATGTATCATCTACAGAAGAAAGTAAAGGGAGCAAAAATGGTACGGTAATGGGGAGGTATTTGCACCAAAAACACACCTAGCGTTCTAGGCGCAAACGCGCCAACTCTTAAAGCCCAACATGTCAAGTTTAGGAGTAGAAAGTAAGAATGAAGAAAAGAGGGGTTGCACTAGCAGCAGTTGGCAAACATATAGGAAACCCTAATTAGGTTGTACTCGCTATAGAGTACCCCACTGCAGGCTAGACAATTATAACATTCTGACACACCCCCATAGCCAAAGTGGGGTGTAATCAACACAATGAGCAAGCATAGCAGTAGTTCACAATTATGAGCAAAGCTCGTGGTAGTCACAGCGGGCAAGCGAGGAGGAGGAGGGACTGTGAGAGGAGAGAAGATGGGGGACGACGGCTGAAGCTGCAGACACACGGGCAACAGGAGCGGCTGGCACAGTGGCTACCGGGACAGCGCCCCGGACTACTGGAGTAACTGGCTCACGGGCTACGAGGAGCTACAGGAGCAACGGACCCACGGGCGACAGGCGCAGCAGGCTCTCTGGGCTACCAGGACAGCGCCCCGGACTACAGATGCTGTGGACGACAAGGCGGCAGCCTCCTCTCAGCCTCCCCAAACAGTCCCACCCCCCTTGACACACACCCCTTGCTTCACCCCTAGCTCCACTCCCCCTTCACCCCCCCTAGCACCACTCCTTCGGCTCCCCACACACACACCCCCCTGAGCGGCAGCTGCAGCAGCGGGATACGGAGGAGGAGGAGGAGTAGGGGACGGCGCACACAACGGGCACCCCCACAACCGCCACCCCCACACTCCTCAGCCAAAAACCGTAAAACGGGTTGCAAGGGGCAGGAGCGCGGGGGGAAAGCGGGGGGGGACGGCGCGCGGCCCCCAGGGCGCCACCACGGGGCAGCAGGGGGGCGCGCGTGGCTCCTCAGGGCGGCGCGACGGGGCAGCAGGGGGTCGCGCGCGACTCTTTTGGGCTCCGCGACGGACGGGCAGGGGCAGCGCGCGGCTCCCCAGGGTGCCGCGACGGACGGGCTGGGGCCGCGCGCAACTCCCCAGGGCGCCGCGACGGACAGGCGGGGGCAGCGCGCGGCTCCCCAGGGTGCCGTGACGGACGGGCGGGGGCAGCGCGCGGCTCGCCAGGGGGCGCCAGGAAGAAGAAAGGGCCGCGCGCCCCCCGGGCGCACGCCACACAGGAAAACCGCCGCGCACATCAGACGCGCGGTGGGAAGAAACAATTTCGCTGCGCGCGGAGCGCGCGGCAGGAAGA